GGTAAGAAGACCAAGACACCCTCAATCTCTCCTACCCCCATTAATGTTGATATTTAATATTGATTGTAGTTCCCATGACTATTCCTATTCCCCATATCTTCACTCCAAAAAAATGCATTAACTACACACCACTGCTTAATGTTGATATATATTACACAAAAAATTAAACATGGTTCATTATTGATTGTCATTATGTTTTGGTTGTTCTCATGCATCCAAATGTTGACTGTACGTGATGACGTGAATGTTCACGTTAGATGACGTAAATATGAATGTTCACATTAGATGACGTTATGATAAAGGTGATGTTAAGCTTCACATCAGCATTGCATCAAATTACACAACCACAACTCTCAACTTTCATTTGAATATAAGCATAACTATACATGATAACGTGAATGTTCACATTAGATGACGTAAACGTGAATGTGAATGTTCATATCAGATGACGTGAATGTGAATGTTCATATCAAATGACGTTTGTGATAAAAGTGATGTTAAGATTCACATCAACATTGCATCAAATTACACCACCACAAGTTTCAACTTTCATTTGAATATAAACATGACGTGTGAATGTTCACATCAGATGACGTTGTGATAAAGGTGATGTTAAAGTTCACATCAATATTGCATTAAATTACACAACTACAACTCCCAACTTTCATTTGAATATAAACATGACATAAATATTCATAATAAAAAGGGGGGAATTACATTATGTGTTGTCAATTTCATGATGTTGATATTTAATGTTGATTGTCATTACCAATAGTAATCACAATCACAAAAATGGGGAATATAACATATTATCACTGTTTAAAAATAAAAATGTTCACATGTTGTGAGCGTTCACATCACTATATTAGATGAGAGAGAATTTTCCAGAAATGTATTGTGAACGTTCACATCAGATGAGAGAGAATTCTTAAAGCGTTGAAGTCATTGAAGAACTTTCTGGAAATGTGTCCATTTTATAAGATTGACAAATTTTTTAGTAAGTTTGATGAAAATGGAGCTTTTTTTGATTTAGGGTTTAGGGACATCAAATATCAACATTAAAGTTTGATGAAAATGGAGTTTTTTTGGTTTAGGATTTAGAGACCTTAAATATCAATATTTAATATAAATATATAAGAGTTTAAGAAAGTAGTGTAAATCAAGAAAAATGACTTTATAGAATAAAAGTATACATAAATAGGATTAAGTGAGTTAAAAAATTATTTCATGACCTTCTTAACTTAGAACACTTCTAAATAGAATTTATTAATAAAAACTCCAACAATAATTTAGGTCTATTTTGAGAAATTACTTTTTTTGACTTATTGTAAAATATAACCTAACAAACTAATAAACTTTTGGAGCATTTACATACAAGTCCCATTTTGTAAACTTATAATCCATTAAGTCCTATATAAAATTATTTGCTCCTTCAAGTCCCATTAATTTTTAATAAGCCAATTTACCATTCCAAGACCTCCTTGCCAACCAGACACCCCCACACACACACACTCACTCACTCACTCTCTCTCTCTCTCTCTCTCTCTCTCTCTCTCTCTCTCTCTCTCTCTCTCCTCCCCACAGACCCAGTCTCTGGTCTCTGGCCAACATGAATAGTCTTGCTACGATCAGATCCTTCATCTTCTTCTTCTTCTTCTTCTTCTTCAATCCATTTCTAACTCCGTCGTCTACGAAATCGATCGGACTTCGAATGCCGATACACATCCACTTGAGTATCATCGGAAAATCGCCACCAATCATCAGCGGTAGCGTCCCAAGGCGACGCTTCACGCAGATCTGGATATGAGCTACTGGTCCTACTAGTCCTCTCCAATCCACCAACACCAGATGAATCATACACCGTTCGATGATCCAAATACTCATACCACCGATCAACCGTAGACGAATCCGATTTCTAGACCTCATTTCTGACATTACTAGAAACAATCTGATGATCCTGATGATGATCTTCATCATAGTTCTTCTTTCGACTGAGAAATCCGAAGACCAGAGTAAAGAGAACTAGTACTATAATGGTCATCGAATTGGAGTTGGTGTGTAAATTGAGGAAATTACCGTTACCTCACTCAGGGAATTTGCAGAGATAGATCGGCCACTGCCATTAGAGATAGAGAGAGATGTAGGGTTTTTTTGAAATTGAGAACATTCTCAATTTATAATATTCTCAATTTTAATCATGAAAAAATTGAGAAAATTCTCAAAATTAATAATTATAAATTTTTTAGTTTTGATAGTTTTGATAATATTCTTAGTTCATACTAGAAAAAAAATTGAGAAATTTCTTGGTTTTGATAATTATAAATTGAGAACATTCTCACTTTTGAAATTGAAAACATTCTCAGTTTGGGATTAAAGGGCAAAACGTCTTTTTACCTGTACATGGGACTTATTGGTTCAAAAAATTTTTGATAGGACCTAAGCTACCACCAAATGTGTAGATAAGACTTTTAGGTAATTACCTCTAGTTTTTAATTGGTGTATGAATTTTATATGATGTGATATTTTAATTTTAATTTTTTTAAATTTTCTGCATTATTAGTATTATTTAAAGCTCTCAAATTAAAAGGATGTATAATTTCTAATTTTTTTTTTGTTTTTTAGGTAATATCAACTCTCTATTTTTTTATAGAATAAATTATAAATAAATCTCTTAGAGTTTGATTTAATTACGAATAACTCCATGTGGTTCAAGAAATTACATTTCACTCCTTAAGATTTTAATTTCATAACAAATTATTCTTTTATTAATAAATTATCAAGTCAATTAATAGTTTTTAATAATATTAAAAATATATTTCAATTAATAATTTAAGTAATTTTATTATTATATAGAAGAGCAATTATGAATTTCATTTTTTTTGTTAATTTTGTTAAATAAAAAATTATTACAATGAAGTATTTATAATTTTTCAAATTATAAAAGATAATCTATATTTTAAACAAATCTCAAAAGATATATTTATTATTCACTCTTTTTTATATAATTTAAAAATATATATTTAAAAGAATTTTAAAAATTAACTTCTAACTAATTTTTCCAAAACAACCAATGAGAAATGTAGGGCATACGTGTGGATTGATAAAGTTTGGGTTCAAAATTGTTCCAGATGGACTTGATGTCGGTTTGTCTAGTACTAATGACTTTACAAAGGAGGCTTAGGCGGCGGAAAAAAAAGTTTAGAGGTAATTAACTAGAAGTCGTATCTATAAATTTGGTGATAGCTTTAGTTTTATCAAAAAAAATTTAAATTAATAAGTCTCATGTACAGGTAATAAGACGTTTTTCTCTTTAATCTTAAAACTGAGAATGTTTTTAATTTCAAACTGAGAATGTTCTCAATTTATAATTATCAAAATTATGAAATTTCTCAATTTTTTTTCTAGTATGAACTGAGAATATTATCAAAACTATCAAAACTAAAAAATTTATAATTATCAATTTTGAGAATTTTCTCAATTTTTTCATGAATAAAATAGAGAATGTTATAAATTGAGAAGGTTCTCAATTTCAAAAAACCCTAGATCTCTCTCTATCTCTAATGGCAGTGGTCGATCTATCTATGCAAATTCCCTGAGTGAGGTCACAATAATTTCCTCAATTTACACACCAACTCTGATTCGACGACCATTATAGTACTAGTTCTCTTTGCTCTGGCCTTCGAATTTCTCAGTCGAAAGAAGAACTATGATGAAGATCATCATCAGGATCATCAGATTGTTTCTAGTAATGTCAAAAATGAGGTCCAGAAATCGAATTTGTCTACGGTTGATCGGTGGTATGAGTATTTGGATCATCAGACAGTATATGATTCATCTGGTGTTGATAGATTGAGGAGGACTAGTAGGACTAGTAGCTCGTATCCAGATTTGCGTGAAGCGTCGCCTTGGGACGCTGTCGCTGATGATCGGTGGCGATTTTCCGATGATACTCAAGTGGATGTGTATCGGCATTCGGAGTCCGATCAATTTCGCAGACAACGGAGTTGAAAACGAATTGAAGAAGAAAAAGATGAAGGATCTGATCGTAGCAAGACTATTAATGATGACCAGAGATTGGGTCTGTGGGGAGGAGAGAGAGAGAGAGCGAGAGAGTGTGTCTGGTTGGCGAGGAGGTCTTGGAAGGGTAAACTGGCCTATTAAAAATTAATGGGACTTAAAGGAGCAAATAATTTTATATAGGAGTTAATGGATTATAAGTTTACAAGATAGGACTTGTATGTAAATGCCCCTTAAAACTATTCACTATGCTTGGTTATCATTTTTCAAAAATACTTTTCAGAAAATTCTATTTTTTTATTTTTTGTGTTTTTTTGTTTTTACTGAATTTTTTTAATATTTTAAGCAATTTTTTTAATTTTTAAACATACCTAACATACATATACCTAAAAAGTAAAAAAAAAATTGAAAAAAACCTTTTTGAAATTCATTAAATACCAAAAAATACAAGAATTCAGTACATTTTTTTATATTTTTATGTATTTATTAATTTTTAAAAATATTTTTTCACAAATTTTTTACTTTTTAAATACATCTAAGTAAGGTGCATCTAAAAAAGTAAAAAAAAAATGTTTAAAATTTTAAAAATATTGACTAAAAACAAAAAAAAATACGAAAATCAAAAAATTCAATTACCAAAAAACTTAATTCAAAAGACTAAAACTAAATACGGATTAAAAGTTTTAATTTAAAACTCCCAAAACTCTTTTTTTTTTTCTTTGAAAATTACTTGGAGTTAACTTGCCAAAATAGGCCATCGTTCATCATTTCCAATGGACGAAAGAGACCACATCAACCGCCGCAAGCCCCAACGACTTCACACAAACACTCCAATGACAAATCTACACGTCATCACATACAAAAAACAAAAAACAAATTAAACAATGATTGGTCCACGTATAATAAATCTTGATGTGCATACGCACTAAATCATTCCCTTCAAGATAATGACAACAAATATATCTCACAGATTTTTAAGCCCCAAGAATCTCATCCGAAGAAAATCTACACATCTAGAGAGAGAAAGTGTAGAGAGAGAAAGCCAAGAAGAGGTAATTGCAAACAAGACCAGCAAGAAGAACAATCCAAACCCTAATTTGGATAGATTCTAGAGAGAGAGAGAGAGGCAGGCTATGCAAGAAGCTACCTTTGCAAAGCACATTTGATTCGAAACCCTAATTCGAGATAAAGAGGGGTTTTTTTTTTTGTGTGTGTGGCGATGCAAGAGACCCTTCGAAGCGTAGTAGAAGAAGCAGAGTCCGGTTCTCGAAACCCTAACCCTAACAATCGATGTCAGTTTCGCCGGAGCAGAGCCTCCGTCCGTCGTCGCGGCGGCGCGTGAGCTGGCCGGACTCCTGGGTGAAGGACCAAGCTCTCCGGCATGTTGTTTTCAAAATGCGCCGCAACTCTCTCTCCGAAACGCCGCCTCCAGAGCTCTTCGAAACAATAATCGAAGACCTAGACTTGGAATCGTCCTCCATTGATTTCACCTCTCTCCTCTCCGACGAGCTTCTTCTCTTGGTTCTCTCGAAGCTTCCAGAATCTCAACACATACCCGATTCTGCTGTTTGCAAGCGCTGGTCGAGGCTTAGCGGTCGTCTCGTTCACTCTATCAAGTTGTTAGATTGGGAATTTCTCGAATCGGGTCGACTCTTATACAGGTTTCCTAATCTCACCGATATCGATCTTGTTCGATCTTGTTTAAAGTCAATTCACAATTCTGGAATCGTGGTAACTAACAAATTCGTATCTATTTATCTCGATTCATGCTTATTGGAAGGTGGGTTTATGCAAAAACATGATTTATTGGATTCGGGTGTAATTGATAGAGGGGTTCGAATTTTGGCCCAGGGTTGCCCTAATTTGAGAAGGCTTGTTATAATTGGTGCGAGTGCACAAGGGTTGTCTTGTGTTGCAGAGGAGTGCTTGACTCTGCAGGAATTAGAACTGCATTGTTGCCCTGATTCGTCGTTGAGTGGAATTTTTGGGTGCCAGAATTTACAGATTTTGAAATTGATTGGTTTTGTTGATGGGTTTTATGATTCGGTAATTTCGGATATTGGGTTGACGATTGTGGCACAAGGGTGTAAGCGGTTAGTGAAGCTCGAGCTTGTTGGTTGTGAGGGAAGCTATGATGGGATCAAAGCTATTGGGCAGTGCTGCCAAATGCTCGAGGAGTTGACTTTATGTGATCACAGAATGGATGGTGGGTGGTTAGCAGCACTTTCATATTGTATGAATTTGAAGACTTTGAAACTTAAATCTTGCAAGAATATTGATCTAAGCCCAGGGCCCCATGAGCATTTAGGTTCTTGTCCTGCTCTTGAAGAATTACATTTGCAGCGGTGTCAAATGCGGGATAAGCAGGGGATGAGAGCATTGTTTCTAGTGTGCGAGGCTGTTAGGGAGCTCATTTTCAAGGACTGTTTTGGATTAGAGAACAATGTATTTGGCATTGCAAGTATTTGTAGGTATGAGTATGACTTTCATTTGCTGCATGTTTTAGCTTCAACTGATTTTGAAATTTATAGTTTCTTTGCTGCCTATTATAATTTATATCTCTTAACTGATCTGAAACTGAACAATTAAGGAAATGCAGTAGATCTTGTTGATGATTTTTTAGTATGTAAATGGTCAGTTTTATAACTTTTTCATTGAGGATGAGTATCCCTCCTGTCCTTGATTGGGACTTGAGAGTGAGCAAATTCTGCTCTCTACTGTGAATGTTCCTGAAATTGTATAAAGATTAAGCCAGAGTTCAAAAAAAGATAAATTCATCTTATTGACTTCTACATTGATCTTAGTGTCAAACTAAATAGCAGAAAATTATATGTGTACATACAACATAAAAGATATTCGTGATATATGTAATACATGTGGGTGCACATATGTTTAATCCCAGGAATGTGCACATGGAAATGTGTATGAGGAAGCAAATTGAAGAAAGCATTTGTTCTTTGCACTTCAAAAAGTAATTGAGCTTTTCCATTCATATGCATGATGAGTATATTTATCAAATTCTTTTCACTTCAAAAATGTTTGATTCTTATGTCTTTTTCCATTTAATACCAAGATGCAAAACCTAAAATCTGAGCAACCTACTTAAAGTGATGTCCATTAGCCACATCCAACAATAGCTATTTTGGGGTATAAGGTGGCTCAGTTACCAGTTTCCTATCTGGGGCTTCCTTTGGGGGCTACCTTTATGGCGAAAGGGGTGTGGGATGGGGTGGTAGATAGAGTGCAACGAAAATTGGCGGGGTGGAAGTGACAGCATTTGTCTAAGGGAGGGCGGCTCACATTGATCAAGAGCGTCCTTTCTAGTATTCCGACATACTTTATGTCGTTGCATATGATTCCTGTGACGGTTGCCAGGCGGTTGGAAAAGTTGCAACGAGATTTTTTGTGGGGTGGTGGAGGGAAGGATTTTCATTATCATTTGGTGGTTTGGGATAGGATTTGTATTCCAAAGGAGAGGGGAGCTTTGGCATTAGGAGGTTGGTGGGTTTTAACTGGGCTCTTTTAGGGAAATAGTTGGGGTGTTTTGCTATGGAGAGGGAGCGGTTATGGAGGAGGGTGGTGGCGGCGAAGTATGGGGTGGCCGGAGGGGGGGTTGGTGCTCAAAGGGGGTGGTCCATCCTCATGGTCGTGGGTTGTGGAAAGGGATTTGGCTAGGGTGGACGGAGTTTTGGGATAGGACTCGGATTAAGGTGGGGGTAGGGGATAGGATTCACTTTTGGCAAGATCGGTGGTGTAGCGAGGTGCCTTTGGTGAGTATATTTCCTATGGTTTATGCTATTGCTGCGGATGGGGAGGAGTTGGTGGAGTCTGTTAGAGTTAGGCAGGGGTAGGTGTTTGTTTGGAATGTTCACCTTTGCCGTAATGTGCAAGATTGGGAGTTGGATCAACTGGTGGACTTGTTGAGTGTTTTGTATGGTGTCAAGGATGGGGGGGTTGGAGCGGACTCTTTGGTGTAAGATTGTTCGAGATCTAAAGGGGTGCTTTCAATGTCTTCTTTTTATGGTATGCTTGAGGTGGGGAGTGGGGTGGTGTTTCCTTGGAAAACCATTTGGGTGATGGGTTCACCTTCCAAGGTGGCTTTCTTTGTTTGGACTACCACTTTGGGAAAGATTTTGACTATTGATAACTTGCATCGGCGGGGGCATGTTCTGGTTAATTGGTGTTGCATGTACTGTAGGGATGGAGAAACGGTGGATCACTTGCTTTTACATTGTCCAGTTGTGTCTCGACTTTGGAATTCTATTGTGACTTTGTTTGGGATGGTTTGGGTGAAACCGGGGTCGTTATTGGATGTGGTTCATAGCTAAGGTGGGGCTAGGGTGGGGAAGCGGCGTCGGAAGGCTTGGGTTCTTGCTTCTCACTGTTTGTTGTGGTTGGTGTGGTTGGAGCGGAATAGGCGTGTTTTTCAGAATGAGTGTCGTTCCGTTTCCTGGCTTGAGAGTCGGTTGTTGCTGGTTTTGCATAGTTGGGTTACGAGTTTAGCCGATCCAAGTGTTTTGGTTTTTGTAGATTTTGTGGAGGATTTACTTAGATAGTTTGGTTGGTCCTTTGTGGGTGGTTTTTGTATTCCTTGCATCATCTTGATGCTTTTCTAATAAAATCCATTTATTTATCAAAAAAAATATATATATATCCACATCCAACAATAGAAGAACAAATGACAATCATTGGTAGTCATCCTGGCAATACTTTTTAAATAAATAAAACATAATTTTTATATAATGTAGGATGTAGGATAATTTGGTCAGTCAGTCAGTCCAAGTTTTGTTTATTTATTCTGTTGGAAATCACCTAGAACAGGGCCAGAAGTTGGAGGTAAAAAGTCTTTCCAATCATTTGGGACTTGCTTTCTGATATCATGATTTTCACTGCATAATGCTGTAGCTTATGGTTACAACATTGGTCATGTGTCCTATCCAGGGCAATTGCTTGATAAAGAACTGATAAATTTGATAGAGCAAGTGAAATTCAAATTTGAGACAATAGAAACTATGAATTGCAGTGGGATGGATTTGGCCACTAAATTTATGGAGCTCATAGTAAACAACCTTTATTGTTGTGTCACCCTCTTTGCTTCTTGTTTAGAAATATTAGAATAATGAAACAAGCTCCCAAATGACTTAAATTGCAAATTATTATTATTTTTTTGTAGGAGAGTAAGGTTTCTATCTTTGGAAGGATGCTCATTATTGACAATGGAAGGTTTAGATGCAGTAGTTCTCTCGTGGAAAGAGCTTCAGAGGCTTAAAGTAGTATCGTGTAACAATATAAAGGATAGTGAAATCACTCCAGCAATGGCATCATTGTTTTCCGTTCTTAAAGCGTTAAAGTGGCAGCCAGATTCAAGATCTCTTCTGGCATCAGGTCTTGAAGGGACTGGACTGGGAATGAAAGGTGGTAGATCTTTCAAGGGGGTGTGAAACTTGAACCTGCTATTTTGTTGATGTGAATCCGGGCTTTTGCCAAATGGATACTTCAACAATTTGACTGCTGCAATAAGTACCGGAATTACATTCGCACAGGCATATTCTCAACAACCTGCAATTATTTTTGTGTGTTTCAAATGTTTTCTCGGCAATCTGTCAGAAAAAAATGGGATCGGGGTGTGTTGTTCGTTAGTGGGTCACAGTTTTTGGTTACAGATGACCTGCTGAAGGAAACCAGCCATTCAAAGAATTTACTTTTCTTTGTTTCTTAATGTACACTGGGTGACCTGTTCGTCCAAAACGCAATAGTTAATGTATTTTAGTGAAGGCATTGTTTCACTAATAGTCATAGAAATTAGATGAGTCAATTTTTTTTTTTTATTCAGTGGTTTTGACTTTCTAGGAGCCAAAAAAGTGAATCTACTCTAGCTCTTATTTCTATACTCATGTTCTTCAATTTTAATTTGTCATTCACAAATCGTGTACAAGTATCTTCTTTGTAGCTGTTATTTTTATACTCTTTTTCCACAGTTTTACTTGTCTTTCATAAATCATGTACAATTATCTCAATTATCAAAATATCATGAACAAGTATCTTGGTAATGATTTTGTTTGTATTTGTCTATAATCTGAACGTTGAAATGTTGTTTCATGGAATAGCTATTGTTTGTATGTTGGTTACTTGGTTTCATAAAATATTATTCCTGCTTTGATTTCCCTAATAGTGTGGCATGTGGGATTTGTATAACCTGAATAGTGATATGGTTTCTTTTGGGAATTCAATGGTCTCTTTGGGAGAATTTAACTTTTTTTTTAAATAGTACAATTATTGTTCTTTTAAAAAATTAATTTTTCAAAATTATCTTTTGATGGTCCATTTTTTGGAGAATATTAATGTTATAATTGTGTTTTTTAGGTTAATGGATTTAAAATAAGGGTAAAATAAGAAATTTATATTATTTTTGTACTTAATTTTGGAGAAATGATTAATATTTTGAGATAATCAAAAATAGAGTAGTGGATTAATATTTTGGAAGTATTAAGGGTTGGTTTGGGATGTTCTAAAAAAGTGCACTTTTTTATTTATTGGCTTATATGGGTTGGGTTTGGGTTGGATTTGATGTGATGTGTTAGAGAGGTGATGTGATTTAAATAAGATGATGTGACTTAAATAGGATAGTGATTTTTTGACTTTTTGTATTATTTAATAGATGGCCAAACTTGGCCTAAATTTGAGGAATTCTTCTGCTCTTTATTATGGGGGAAACATCACCATCACCACCTTTTTAAAGGATAGTTTGATTTGTTGAGTAACATTTTTTTTTTTAAATTTATTTTTATTTAGGGATTGCTGCAATTTGTTCCCTTATTATTACCTTGTAGTACTAGTAATGACTGAGCTCCACTAAAAGCAAGAATGTGGAAAGATGCAATGGGTGCAACTGATGACCTGTGGATATTTCATGTCATTCCGTGCAGTCCTTTATAGCTTAAAATTTCCCTATCCAGGTAATGGTTTTTTTAACATCATACCAGTTTTTATCAAACAATTGGTATAGAACATACAAAATTTCAGAAAAGTGCATAGAATGCAGTGGTGACAGTATCTCATTCATTTTGGATGTGTCCCACACTCCAATATGCTGAGTTTTGTAGCCAGCATTGCATTCTATGCACTTTTCTGTAAAAAAATTGTGTTTGCAGCATTACAGATTATGAAAAGGTTTCTATATAATTGTATTAGTGTGATCTTGAATTTTGGAAGTTTGATTATTTGCTGGACCAAAAAATATCAAATAATTGTGAAAATTGAGAAAAAAAAAGAAAAACAAGTGAAGTGAATATAGATAGCTTGATAGCAAGTTGCAACATGACTTGGGCTTATATGTTCCGACTCCGTGGTAAAAGATTCATCTTTTTTTCATTAGGAGTTTGGATACCTATCCACATGATTTGGGGCAAATGATTTGGGGCCATCAACTTGAACCGGAAGGTGGATCTTTGCAATTGCATTTAGTTGTTCAACATGTGTGAAGCATTTGAGAGGATCATATATGGGTAGAGGGTATGGTTTTGATAATGAAAGCTCTCACTACCTGCACATAATATTGTTGTCTTCCAAGTAGCACAAGCACAAATATGGTACAAAAACTTGTGACACAAAAACATTGAAACAAGTTTATATGCACACTTGGTGAAGTGTGATGTTGGAGACTTTGTACCATAGTCTGTTTTTAGGTTCATTTTCATTTCTCCTTTATTTGCTTCAATCTTAATATCTTATGATGAAACAATGTACATGTTTGTATTTTCTTTAATGTAATAGAAACTGATATTTCACCTTTAGATTCTTTATCATCACAATAATTTTTATTTTCTGTTGCACATTTATCACACAATATAGGTTTGTTATGGAACATGTCTCCTTAACATAATATGATACATGAAAGAAATACAATAATAGTGGAGGTGCTATAGAAGCCACATATGAAGCATGAGTATGGGTACGAGTATTGATACTAGTACGATATGGTATATCGATACGGTAAAATTATCTTAAAAAAAGTAAGGTATGGGTACAGTTTGGTACATTTATAAAAAAAAAAAAAATTATTTTTAATTTGGAATGATGCAAAAATTGATTAAGTGATTTAATTTGTTAAGATTTAACCTATAATTAACATTTAATGTCAAAAATAAAGGAATGAACCAAAATTAAATGTCATTATATTAAATAACTTACAAATTATAACTTAACTAACATATCGCTCGTGCTATGCACGGGATTGAATTTTAAAAAATTATTTATAGTTATGTCAAACATATTTTTAAATTATTAGCATAAAATAGACGTAATTTTGAAAGAACATACTGGTGTTTTATAATTGAAGTAATAAAAATGAAATTTTATTATGTTTGTTCGAAATTCACTGAATAAATAAGATATATTATGACTAAAATCTAAATTGTTGTGGGTCTTCTATCAACATTCATGCATTGCCAACATAATAGTTAGTATTATAATTGATAAACAATGCATATATTATGTATTTATAAAATATTATAAAGTAAAAATATTATACTTACATATTATTTATTTTTTACCTTGTAAAATTTTTCAGACCAATCTATATTTAAAACAAAGTTTACGCACGGTGCACAATCTAGTTGACGTAGCATTGTTGGTACATGTATGATAAATGCATAGGCACAGTCTTGGCATGACGCAATATAATCTTTAATCATTTTAACTCTATTATCCTATAAAATTTTGGAATTATAACATTGTATTTGAAAATGTAAGAATAAGTTATTTATAATAAATTTTATAATTGCCTACCTTTGATATCATATTCTTCAAATATGATGGTTGACATCGCAAGATAAACTCTGCCCATTTATCTTGAACGGCGAGATTTATTGAACCAGTATTGTCTTTGACCACAATGTTAACATTATATCTAATTAAAAAAAAAACTTTTTAAAAGGAAATATTGTACCTAATAAAAAATTAAAACACTTGTTATGTTTGAATTATTATTTTACATAACAATTATTTATCTAAAGAAAATTACCTCGTTATAATATCAGTATCATATGTAGTGACGACAAACAAATGTGACCATAATGATATTCAACTTTTTCATAGCAATGTAATTTTTTAATAAAATTATAGTGGAAGGCTTAAAAAGGGTGTGTAATTTCCTAATTACAGTGTATTTTTTTCCCCTTTTTTTCGCAATTGTAACCTGTTGTTTTTTAATAAAAATTTATATTTGTTTTAGATATTTTTTTAATATACAAATTAGTTTTTACAATGTACTTTTTTTTCCTCTTTTTTTGCAATTGCAACTTGTTATTTTTTAATAAAATTTATATTTGTTTTAGATATTTTTTTTAATATCCAAATTATTTTTTTTAGATTTTTTATAAAAATAATTTAACAATCTTATCATTAACCATTGTGTATGGTGATATTACTGCTTGAATGCCTGTGGATGGAGGTCGAATTGCTTAAATTGGGATAACACATTAAAACTGTGAATTTTAAAGCCCACTAGATAGTGGCAAAACCATCTTTTCTAAAAGCCCACTTGAGGGTGGCAAAACCGGCATTTTAGCCTACTTGCGAGTAGCAAACCATTCTCAAAACAAACATGAAATGTTTTGTTCCAATTTAGGCGATTTGGTCTATACTTGTTTGCTGTGCGCATAACGTAGTAATTCTAGGCTAATAATCGGGATAAGAATGCATAACGCTTTCAAAATCGGATATCACGGTTAGTAGAGGCTGGTCATCGGACCGGGCAAGAGGGGGTGCTCATAGCTGACCTTCCCCAATCGTACCCAAGCTCCCGAGCCGAGGCAACTTTGGTGATGACGGACATGTGGCCTTTGGCACCGAGTCAGGGTTTCCTAAATTCTCCCATTTTAAAATATTTAGGTTGCGACTCTGTATCTGGCAAAGCAGTCCATGTTTGGCACTTCTTTCTAAAAATCTGTTTTTCTCAAAACGATTTGCCAGATTTGGACTCTTTGGTTCGAGATTAAGAACCGTGACACAAATCGAGTCCGAGCTGTAGCGAGGGCCCCACGCGGGCGCGTCTACACTAAGTTTTTTTTTTTAAAAAAAATCAAAAAATTAAAAAATTAAGATTGGGATATTGGAGCTCCCACAACGCTTATGGGTTAAAAATTATATTGCCCCAAAATAAATCAACATGAACTAACCACCTTAATTGACATTCACTAAACAGCAATCAATAATCCTTTCATCATCGCGTAGTTAATAAATGAGTTTATACAAAAGTTTCACATGCGGGTATACATTCAACGATATGAAGCACACATGAATCTATAGCATGTGAAGCATCTATTCTCAAAACAAATAAAATGCCCTTAAGGGCTTACATCTTCCAAGGCAATAGCCTGGTTACACAAAATGGTCTCTCGGACCCCTACACGTCTAGCCCTTGGCTTACAAAAATTCACAACAAAAATAAAAGAGCAATCTACTCTTCACAAAACTATCCACGCCATCAATTCGGCGGGATCACCACATCTTTATTTACACCAAAATCCTATAAGGGTGAGCATAAAGCCCAATAGAGAATTCTTACAAAGTATATACAGTTATGCAAACTCTCAATAAAAATGCAAATGTCAATGTCATGCCATGCTCTTTTAAAGAAATTTTATTTCATGCTCTTCTTGAAAATTTCCATTTCTCAATAAAACCTTGCAATCTCAACACATTTCAAAACTTCCAATTTTAATCAATAGGAGCGGTAAATACGACACTGGTAATCCCTAGGGTGGTGTCTGCAGGTAGACTATACAAGTACTACCCAATCGTCATTTTTACCAGTATTAACTGGAAGGCTCGACACCTATCCGCGCGGGTTTCTGGTCTTTCATCATGGACACTCAGGCCAACTTATCAAATTCATCTACACACCCCCTAACCGGACTTACCAACATATTTATCCCATACACATTTCCGTTGTTCTTATTACAAATACCAATTCCTTTAATGAAGTAAATATTCTCAACTTAATTTCACAATGCATGATAGTAAATTAAGTGAATATGCAATGCAATGA